CTGTGAGATGCTCTCGGAGCTGGTGACTGGCACTGCGCTGGGACAACGGGGTGGCTGGGAGGCAGCACAGGCCCTCGGTGGGCATCAGCGGACAGTACCTTGGTGGCCCGGCATGGGTCAAGGGGTTTCGTCCCCAGCTTTGGGGGTCTGAGGACACCTTTCGACGTAGCATCAGGAACCCTGGCTCTGGAGCCAGTCTTAGGTTCAAGCCTTAGCTTCCACCAAACCACAGGCTGTGGGGTGCTGGGCAGACTAGCTCACCTCTCCACGTCTCAGTGTTATCCACAAAAGGATGTGGGATTGAGTGTGGTTATATGGGTAAGGGCTTTTGTGTAAAATGCTCTGCAAATATGATTTTCTCACTCATGTTCTCAGGGATTGACACACACCAAGCACGCTCCCAAGCACGCTTATTGATGGGCCAAAATTTCAGGTAACTGGTTGACCATGAGACATAGAACTGCCTTGGAAACCGGAATACTCAGGCTGATGACCTCCCCTGCTTAGTGGCCACTCAGACCTCAGTTTCCTCATCTGCAAAATGGAAAGATACAGGAACCCAGGTGGGAAATTATTTTGAGAATTAAATGAGATGAACAAGTAAAATGGTAGCTCTATTTCTTTCCCTTTCTCCTCATTTACCGGCCCCCCTGCCTTAACAGGGGTACATGGCAAACCCAAGCGGAGTGGACTCAGAAACCAAGAGCCCCCAGTTCACGCAAGGCTCCAGTCCCATCTCTACCCCAAACCATCTGGGTGCCTGTGGGAAAATCCCTTTTGTCTCTCTTCCTCCTAAAGGGAGGGCCACATCTCCCACCACCCCACCCCTGCATAGCTCTCCCTGCTCAGAACTGTCACGTTCTGAGCATTGTCACGCCACCATCATTAGGTTGCTTGCATGTTCTAGATAGACTCGAGACACACCCAGATCTCTATGAGACACACTCTGATCTCACAGGAACCCTCCTCTGTGGGTTGTCTACATCTCTAGATAGGAGAGGTGGCCTGGGTCATTGACCAAGGTTGACTACTAACTATGTCATCCAGGGCTGAGGCTGGCAGCACATTTGTGAAGACACAACCCTGGGCGTAGTAATAAACGCTCTACCCCTTCCCACCCATATTACCTTATTTTTGTATTGAAACTTTAACGGAAGAATTGCAGCCCAGACATTTTCCATTCCTTGTCTTCCTTTCCGTTCATTGTCTTCCTGACCGAAGCTTATAAGAATGCCGCCCAATCTCTGCAATGTTGTTCAGATAAATACTTCTGGGAGACAGTTTAGCTGGGTGGTATAGGTAACTACACCTAAAAGTCATTTTAGCTTCCTGAACAATTCTCCATGGTTTGTTCTTGCGTAGGTTTTATTAAAGTACCACTTGTGGGCTTTTTTCCCCCTAATAATAAAAACAATGCACATTCACCATAAAGTATCTGGAAAGTACAGAGTAGCACAAACAGGGACATGAAAACTACCCATGGTCCCACTCAAAGACAACCAGTGCCAACATTCTGATGTATTTCTTTCCAGGAACATATATGTATATGTTTCTATAGAGAAATATAAAACACTAGTTACATACAGTAACAATATCATCACATATGGACGTGTATGTTTTTCTTTTACAAATTTGAGACTTAAAATTTAATTACACTTCAAAAATATATTTCACTTCATGTATAACTCATTTTCTGAAAATTCATTATTTTGATTAATAGCAGTCTAGAGTTTTTCATGCACAAGGTAAATTTTTCATAATACGTGCTTCATCTAAACACAGACTACTTTTTTTTTAATTTGGGCTCATTGTATACGAGGAGGTGTGATCAAACGATACGGTGAATGTTTAAATAAAAAAATTTATTACAGTAAAAGACACATTGCCATTAATCCCCCTCAAAATACTCCCCCTCGCTTTGAATACACTTATTCCATCGTTCTTGCCACTGTCTGAAGCAGTTCTGGAAGTCCTCTTTCGTGAGTGTCTTTAGTTGCGCTGTCGTGGCTGCCTCAATGTTCTGAATCAATACAAAATGTTTACCTTTCATGGTCATTTTGACTTTGGGGAAGAGCCAGAAGTCGCTTGGTGCCAGATCCGGTGAATAAGGTGGATGAGGACACACTGTGATGTTTTTATTTGACAGAAATTGCTGTACCAGAAGTGATGTGTGACACGAAGTCTTTCCGTTGTGATAAAAAAATATGGTGAATGTTGTGCCAAGTGCCATCCAATGGAAAGGCAGGGATCTTTAATACGGAAGTGGTGCTGAACCTTAGGAACAGTATGTGAAAAGTTTCAGTTTGTTCGGTACAGTCAGTCGGGTATGAGCTACGGTTGAGAGGTGTGTTTTAAAGTGTGCTGCAAATCATCCTCCATCATGACAATGCTCTGTCACACCTCATTTCTGGTATATGGCAATTTCTGTCAAATAAAAACATTACAGTGTGTCCTTATCCACCTTATTTACCGGATCTGGCACCATGCGACTTCTGGCTCTTCCCCAAAGTCAAAATGACCATGAAAGGTAAACGTTTGAATCAATTCAGAACACTGAGTAGCCACAACAGTGCAACTAAAGACACTCACGAAAGAGGACTTCCAGAACTGCTTCAGACAGTGGCAAGAAGGATGGGATAAGTGTGTTTGAAGTGAGGGGGAGTATTTTGAGAGGGATTAATGGTAATGTGTCTTTTACTGTAATAATTTTTAAAAATTTAAACATTCACTGTATTGTTTGATCACACCTTGTATATTTGTTTGTAACTGTTTTTAAAAAGATTTTTACTCCCCATTTTTAAAAAGTAGGGCACACTTTACATATGAAGGTAGAATTCTGTGAGTTTCCACAAATGCATATAGTCTTGTAACTACCACCACAATCATGACACAGAATTTTGCCTGTCATTAGCTAGTTATCTAAAATATAACTGTGAATGTCACGAAGTTTTCTGTCATTTGGAAGTGCAATGATTTAACCAATCTCTTTTTTGTTGGCCATTTAAGTTGTTTACCATTTTCCTCTTACTGATTTTGCAATGGGGGGAGGTGGGGGAAGGAATTGAATGAATGGATGAATGAAAATAAGTGAAATCTGGGCTCTCATTACCCTGGAGCTATACCAAACGGGCTTCTCCCTTCCCTGCTGGGGAAACTGCTCATCCTTCGAGAGTTAGCTGAGATGTTTTCTCCTCTGTGAAGCCCCGGTGATGCCAGCTGGAGAGTTGGTTCCTCCTTCTTCTGTGGCCCCACAGCACCGGTCACACACTGTTTATAGGACAAACATTGCAATAGTGTTTCTCTTCTCCCCTCCAGGCTGTGAACTTGGGGGGGGGAAGTGATGCCTTAACTCTGTGCTCCTCAAACCAAACCTAGGCCATGCCTGGCTCATAGTGCCCTACAAACATTCAGATATAAGTGAACATTCTGCCCTGTTGAGCTAAATTTTGGTATTTTGTCGATCTCTTAGGAGACAGGTACTATATGAGCATCGCGAGAATATGAGCTGGATAAATTAAGTTGGTACATGTTTGCAGAGATGGAAACTTTCTTCTGTTTCAGACCTTGGGTCAGGGGTGCAAATTCATATTTATGTGTAGTCACTCAATAAATACTTGAGTGAATGAATGCATGAATGAAAAAGAGGTGTGGTTCTGGACCCTGGGAGATGAGAAAGCCAACTAGAGGTAGCACCTGGTCTTGCTGAGCTCACAAGGGAGAATCAAAGGTTCCAAAGGGTTCACCCACCCTTCCAAGCAGTCTTTCCTTAAACTTGATTAGTTCAGCGTTTCCTGGCTGCCTTACCACGGACAGCCGGACAGTGGCCCGTGGTTCCTGGCAACAATGTCCTGACTGTTTGGTTTGCAAAACGTTTGTACTATGGAAGCCAAATCCTGAGGGGGGAGCACCTGTTTTTATTTATTAAACGTGTATTTATTAATCTCTGTATCTGTGGGATCTAGCACAGGACTTGGCACAACATAGCTGGTGTTTTTTAAAGTTTGCATAAGGATAAGTATGAATATGTACAAAAATGTTTGGGACGGCTAAAAATGACCACCATTCCGTAGAGTGCCTCCCCAGCCAGGTTCTCAAGTAGTTGCTCTTTGCATATGTTCCATTTCTTCTACCAGCCCTGGGTTGGTCCGGTATCATTTTCCCATCCCAGAGATGAGGCGAATCCCAGACGAATTCCCCTCAGTTGCCCAAGCGCACACTGCAGGAAGTATCTGCGGGGAGTTGAACCAGGTGTGCCTGGCTCCAAAGCCTGCCTTCTCGACACTGAGCACAGGGTCCCCAACATCAAACGCTGCCCATCTCTGCCAACCCAGCAGGTAAAGCTCAGCCAATGGGTCTTGCGTAGAAAGCGCGTCCTTCCGAGCCCTGTAAGGGTCAGTTCCCAGGAGGCTCTGGAGGTGACAAGGCGGGCTCCAACCTGCGGGCAGCAGGTGATTTCCGCCCGGGCGTGCTCTCCCGCAAGGTGTGTAGACGTGACGTTGGGCAGGTGTCTGGCTCAGAAACTGATGCACAGTAGACGCTCATTAACGGCTTTGGCGTCCCCGCGCCGCAGCAGGAGAGGTTGGGGCAGCCTAGAGGTGGCAGATGCTGACGGGACACGAGGACCATAGCCCGAAGCCACTGCTGTGCCGAGGCGACCCCATATAGGCGGGGTCCGGAGGGGCGGGGCTCCGGTAGCGCCCAGCCAATCGGCACCCGGAAGGTGCAGCCCACCCACCTGAGGAGGCGGCGCTTGCGCAGTCGGCAGCCCCAGCTCTACCCCGACGCGCCTCCTGGGGGGCGGGGCGGATCGGCGGCGCTCGGCGCTGACGCTACGCCGTCGCGCCCGACGTCGGGCACGTTGACGCCGGCGACGCGCAGCCGGGCCCGCTCCTCCTGCGCTCCGCCAGTGTCCGGCCGCGGGCCGGCCTTAGTGACTGGGGGCAGCGGGCCCGGGGCCGCGGGCGCGGGG